GTCATTTACGTTCTCTTGAAAATACGTATAATGAATAATTAATGTATTTATGGTTATTCGCTGCCTTATTGATACGATTCCTTTCCTTCTGGGATCTTATAAGCGTACAACCTGATGGCTCGTCTGGTTTTGTTCTACAGGAAAATTGAACAGTTAAAGGGTTTAGCACCGTATACAATTAACACGTTGTGGAACAACTGAATAATTGCATTTCCGTCCATGTCTAGCACTTTCTTCATGGTTATTCTCAGAAATGTTTTTTTCGCGGAAATTTGCTAGCTGTCTTAATTCATATTCGCTTTTTGCTTCAGTCTAATTAGACGACTGTTTTTCCCTTCACCGATCACTAAACTCGTTTTTACTCTCATTGCTTCGGCAGTATTAGAATATTTTAAAGGTAAGCATGTTTTATGCTGATGGTGTGCTGGATTCTCCCAGAATTCCGCGGACATTTTCATCCGACTTAGCCATTTGGCTTCTTTCTGTTCGACTGCGCGTTCTTCACAATATGACGATAACGCTCATGTGCATGAACATGTTCGGTCGTGCGTGCTCACCCTTTCACATTTTCTGTTTCGCGTATCTCTTACATCTGATTTATCGCTATTGCAATGAAGTCCTTGCCCCCAGTGTATAAAATGTTCAGTGTTATAAGGAGGATTCTTAAATATTACTTTAATAAGAAGGGCAGGAGGACTGGATTGATGAAATAAAAGCGGAACAAGAAAAGGGTAAATCAGAAGTGAATTAGCTGACTGCTGAGTAGGAAACGAAGATAACCTAGATGCTATAAATGGCAGTTGATGCCCCATTCCGGTGAGTAACAAAAATGTCTCGAATACCTGTTAAATTAGATTTTCGCTACAATTTGCAATGAAATTCATTGTCTTTTGTGACGTTCTGTTGTATTTATATGCACTGAAAATATCGTTGGTTGTCTGTTACAAAATCGCATCGGTGAATCATGGAGCATCGTTGTTCGATGGGCGCTATTGCACTTATATTCCAATCTTAAATCTACCTCTGAATATTCGCTCTGTTCTTTACCCATAATCTCGAACAGTTTAAAGGTTATTTAAAAATTTTTTAAATCGATTACGTTATGTGATGCATGATTTCATGTAGAAAAAACGGATTACGTACGCATATGCCTGAACTGTTATTTTACTATCACTTCACCGGAGTTAGATAAGGTATTTATATATACGATGGTCGACGATTCTAGCGCGGCGTTACTGATCGACCCAGGGAACATCATGCACATCATTGAAGTAGACAACGTCGCGCAGAATTAGACCGAAGTTTCCCACGACGCAACCAAGCTTTATCGCTTCCAACGTCCTGCGTTTCGCGATTAGCTGCTCAACATCGTTGTCGATGACCGGTGGCTTCTCAAAAGCAAGGAACGACAGCAACGAAATCAGTAAACATTGTCGCGCAGGTTTAGACAGCGACGATCTGCAGCAGTACTACAACTTCTCCCTGGCTTTGCCAGGGAGTTCGAAATTTCTGACAACAGAAAATTCGAAAGTTCAGCCATTGTCACCGGAAACTTCATCTACAGCTGCGGCGCTGAATCTCACGGTAGCGACGACATCCTTGCGCAAAACTTCCGCATAAAAGTTTTGGAACGGAGAGGGCTTTTTTCGAAATCGACTGATGATTAAGCCAGCGTTACCGAAAACGATTATGACAAGCTGATTATTCGCCGTATGAATACAGGCTCAGCTTTACTGGCGTTATAATGAGAGATCAAGTGAGAGATGATACCGTTTTTACCCATGAATTTAAAACTATCCCTGTCGATGGTAACTCAACAACCGAGATGTATGATCACGAGAATTTCGTCGAACCGAAGATGATCATCTTGGAGGACGACATGACAATACTGGAAACCAATGAAATCATCGAATTATCTGTTCACGTTTTGTGAGCAGAACAACAGCTTCTACGCCATCTACCGCGTATACACCAAGCATCATTTGGACGAGGGTTCTTTACGTTTTCTGTTGCTCACCAGCTAGTCACAGTGCGTAGTGGAGAAGTTCGCTATTGTGACTCCCGGCAAACAGTATGCTTCTCCGGGTTAATGTGCCGTTACTCAGATCTTGACTAAGTTTCGGTTGACCTGAGTTTGTAGCTGCTTTGTTTTTTGCACCATAATCTCACAAGCGCGATCTTATCCATTTTGAAGAAATCTTTTCGTAACATCAACGCTGAGATCTTTGTTTTAAACGATTCAACTAGGCAATGAGTGTCATATGAAAGTCAATCAACAGAAAGCTGGGTTCCCCAGTTTCCTCACCGATGGTGTTTTCCGATTATTCGTTAGTGTATTAGAACGAAGCATGGAAACGAATACTGTGGTGGTGATGGTTGTGAAGCATTGGTAATAAAATTTAGCTAAATCTACTTCCGAACTATTAGGCTAACAAGACGATGGTAAAATTCCGAGTGGCATCAAAGTTATTTTGTACTACGGAATATGAAACTTTATAGGTTTGAGAACTCGACCCACAAGATGGGCGAAAACAACCACAACATCGAAAGCGTAGAGTTTATTTCTCTTGCAACTTAGTTTCGAAACTATTCTGGAGCAAAGTCATTGGTTAAGTACATTGAACGTGCCATCACTGCGGCCAATATGAAGGAAATGTTAAATCTCAATTACTTACCTTGTTTTTGGTGTTATACACACATATATTGAAGCTCTTCTAATAACCCACCACACCAAGCATTGAACAGCAACTGGTGCAGAGCGAAGATCCTGCGCATGCACCCATAAGCAAAGTCCAGAATGTGTCAAGTGAAGGATGAGGATGTGACTTCTATAATTTCCGGCTGCAAAGCTCTAGCGAATCGAGAATATAAGGAAAGCACAACACCGTTTTGTGGAGAGTCAACTGACGTTTGTGTAAGCGAGCTGATTACCAGTGGTAATGATGAAAACCTAACCTGAAAGCAGGGCAAGTAAAAATACTCTGAAACTTCCCATACGAAGTAAGGAAGAAATATAAAGAAATATCTCATCTTATAGATATGTTTGCATAAAAACCGAAGACGGGTAAAAATGATCGATACAGTGCTCGGCTGACAGCAACATCGTTGTTAAGCACAGACAAAAGATACTGACGAAAATTAAGAATTGACGGTTCAAATGCAAAAGATCTGGCGAGTAAAGAAGGTAGTCGTTCCTGTGGACATTGTTGCCCTCAGTGCAGTGAAAAGGCGATTAGCGCCTAAGTCTATCAATCTATGAAGTTACCATTTTGTTACGCTTAAATTTACGCTTGCTGCTGTTGCACATGAAAATCTTAACAAATGATTCCAATAAGCCTTTATTTAAAATGCATTCCTTTTATACGGTAGTTATACACGGCAACAAATCAGTATCTCCATCATTGGGTATTACTTGTCTCCTACTTCTAGAACCGAAGAGGAACGCTGCTTAGAACCGTGTGGTTGAATTGTACTAATTATTATTATGAGACAGGTACCATTAAGTCTTGATAATGATAACAAAATGTTTTTAAATTTAGCCTATCTTCATGACCCGTTTTCCCGCCGAGATCAAGTCATTTTACATGTCTCGCTGTACTGATGACACGCGAGTGACGGAGTCGGTATGATGTTATCTTTCTATGCTTTAACGACTCACTAAAACAACTATGTAATTATTTTAGGTAGATCTTTTAATGCCAGGTGTGGGTGAGATGGTTGGTGGTAGCATGAGATGCTGGGAGTACGACAAACTCATCGATAGCTACAAGAAAAACGGAATCGATCCAGCGCCGTACTACTGGTACACGGATCAGGTATGTCGGTCGTCCGCGCTTTTCTGTACTTGTGTCTGTGACTCCGATAGAGACATTAACTAAGAGATAGCAAATACTCAGATGTATTGCGCGACATTACTGATTTATCTTATGAATCGTGGACTAATGTGACTTCGACTTGGTCAGTAATCTTCTAGACAAAGAAAAGATTTATAAAACGCTGATATATCCGATGTGCATCAATGTTTATGCTATGAAATCAAGATGTCGCCTACT